AGTCTGTTTTCATGTATTTTCTGAATTGGAGACTTTTTAAATGAAAAATGAACCCTATAACCTCCCAAGAAAAGAATAGCCATAATCCTAAATGGTTCTAAAACCTGTATATCCAGTTTACCAGGGGGAAATTTTTGAATTGCTTTATGTCAACATTGTCTTTCTCACTTTGCTACATATCTGTGCTAATGATCGATGAGATGCACCTCTCTATAAAAGTTAGTCAAATTTTAGTTAATCTTGTTTRGGAAAATCATCAATTAACTGGTTCTAAACMTTTATTAAAATCTTGATGCTAATGATATGTAATGAAGCATATTTAAGCACGTTTGATGGTGTCCTGTGCAGCTTTGCTCCCTGGCTCCCTCTTGTCTTTAATCCTGCATCTCCCAGTCTGTCTTTTTCATCCTCAATGTATCCCCCCACCCCCTCTCTCTCTCTCAGCGCCCCAGCAGTCTGATATCCGACAGCTCAGTGGAGCCAGTCCCCTCACCCTCCGGCTCCTCACCCTCCTCTTCACCCTCCTCTCCCTCCAAAGTCGTCCCTTCTCCTGGTCAAGTTCTCAGCACCTCCTCATGCACAGCCAAAGTATGTTACACTTATCTGGGTGCTCACATGTTAAAATCTCAGGGCTGTGTGTGCTARGAGATTTAAACTCTGACTGAGTCTCATATTTTTTTCCTCTGCTTGTTACACATTTTTTCTTTCGGAATCTCTGCCCATCAGGAGCTGAAAGATTATCCAGTCTATCCAGATCCCAGTCTTAAAGCATTTGAAGGAGCTACGCTTCGATATGCTTCTCTGAAGCTCAAGTAAGAGTCCCGTTCTGTGTGATATTTAGGCTTTTCAAGTTTTCCACTGGAGTTAGGGTGCTGTATCTGAGACTTGATATTTTTCAACTTTTAWGGCACAAATGTTTTGATTTTATTTGAACAAATTCTTATGGCTTCCTGTTTTTCTGCAGCCCACCAGCCCAGCTAGAGACAGTGGACCTCAACAGCTCTTTTTCTGATCCAGAAGCAATGGTAAACACACAGCTACAAGTTATATAAATGTCTTACAGCAAGAACTGGTTTTTAGGCTCATTTCAAATTTATACCAACAAAATGTTCGGACAAGAGCAACAAAAGACTGAAAAATGTGAAATAGTAACAAAAACAGGATCAGCTGAAATGTCTGACGGCTGATTAAGGAAATGTGTGGCTAAAAAAAAGAAAAAAGAAAAAACCCATGGGAGGGGTCACGGCCCTGTGAATAACTYTTCTGGTAAATTTTTTGGGGTCTCAAGCGGATCTGTGTTCATGTTGTCTGCTGTGAAATCACTGCAACAAGTTCAGGACTCTGTGAAAACTACAACACAGTTAATAGTTGCATCCACAGGTACAGCTGTGTTATAGGAATAAAAACCATCTAAACCAGTTCAAGCGAGGTTCCTTCTTATTTAAATTAAATGGTTATTTAAAGTGAGAGTCCTCTTCAACCCAAACTCTGAGCTCTAACTTCGGCGCACGAAGCAGCAGAATATATGAATTCCTATAAGGAATACAGATTTAGCTTTAAGAAACGTGTCGTTATTTTACAATACAGAGTCAGAACATCCTGCAAGTATTGTATTACAACATTATGTTATCTTGGTTAAATAGTCGTCATGCAGAATTTAGTGTCCAAAAAAGTAATGATGCACTTTTTGATTATTCTTAACATGTCAGTTTAATTCTAATCAAGAAGACACCTCATTTGTTTGTTTATTATTTTTGAATTACAACAAGAAGCCTCTACCTTAAACTMCTTTATATATATTTCTTAAAATATCACTTGGGGTATATTCACACCAGCCCTGTTTAGTCCACTTTAATCAAACTCTAGTTCATTTGCCAGGAAAGTCCAGTTCGTTTGGGGAGGTGTGAACGCGTAATCGAACTCTGATTCGGATCAAAAAAGTGAACTCTGGTCCGACTCCAAACCTAGGTCTCAGTTCGGTTGAAGTGGACTCTGGTGCGTTTCGATTGCGTCATGTGTGAACACCAAGCGAACCAGAGACCTCTCCAAAAGCAGGAAGCAGACTATAARGCAGGGCACTTAGAGTAATAACAGTAATAAAGTTACTCATAACTTAMAAATACCTTGCTGGATGTCTGTATAAGGTGAACATCACTGCTGTGAAGTTGGACGCGCTCCTACATTGGTGAAAGACGCCTCGCTTGGAGCCATCTCAGCCACCTTGTGTGAAAAACAACATTCTCCATGGTTCTTTAGGGTTTAGTTCATTTGACAAAGTGCAGTGCGAATGTGAACCGAACCAACTGAAAATGTAAACAAATCTTGCAGTTTTGGTCTCCAATCTAACCGAGTCCACCGGACTATCAGGTGTAAATATGACCCAACAGTCTAGAAACAGCAGCATTTATTTTGTCTGTCTTCTAAACTTGCAGCACTGACATTTGTATTTAAATCATTTTATAGTTTATGCATCCATCTGAATCTGTGCAAACTTACTCATACATTCAGTAACACAATGTACAACATGTAAATAAATCTGTGACATATTCTGTAATATCTGATGAGAAAAATACWATTTTTTTTAGAAATTTGTATTTTTGATAATGAGAGGGAAACACCAGGTTTCATTTGTAATGARATAATCTTATTCACCCCTACTGATCTTTCTTTCTAGGCTGCAGTGCCCCCTGTTGGTGAAACTTGTCAACTGAAAAATAAGGAGTCCAAGTGTTTTTAGCTGCCCTCCTGTGGAAGAATGCCACAAATACAGGCTGAACCTGCACAGAGGAGGGATGATGAAAACATTCATTAGATAGCTTTTCTTTCCATTCGCTCATCTATTTATGTAGTCAGATAACAGTTACAGAAGTTATCATTTTCAGGGCTGATAAGTAATAAATACTGAAAAAAGATGAGAAGAGTAGGAGTACATCTGTATAACGGTGTAATAAGGCCATTTTGCAGATAAAAAAGTAGTAGTAAATATCATCCAAAAACTGAAATTCTGAGATTTATTTCAGAAAATTTCAAGAAAAAACAATT